CCCCCCGAGGCCGGGCTGCGGGGCTGTGAGGGTCTTGATCGCTTCTCAGTCGATTTACGCTGTGGTTGGTGCCGCGGATCATTTACCTGCTAACAGGGCAGCCCTTGCCATATGCTTACCCTTTAGGTGCTTGGTTATGTTATTTTTTTTAATAGGCAACGAATAAACTCGGTACACAAACTCCTCCATTTCGCTGCTGGCACACTTAATAGCTTATATCAGGATGGGAATTAGTTACCTCCTAAATTAAACCTCCCTGTGTTACTCCCCTCTCCTTAAGCCTTGCACCTCTTTTCCTATCATTTTACACATCGCCGGCAGCCATCAGAGTAAAGCCAGGTGTGACCTTGCCACTGTCCAGTTTTGCTTAGCATTCCCTTTTATTTTTCATCTTTCATGGTTTTTTTTTAACCCAGGTGGCTGCGTTCATACTCAAGCCAATACTGGTTCATTTTTCAAGTAACGTTTTACGAGGCAGCATATCAAATGCTTTGCTGAAGTCCAGATATATTATGTTCGTGGCATTCTCTTCACTAATTTTGTAAATTCAATCAGAGAAAGTAATCAGGTTTGTCTGACGTGAATTGTTCTCTATAAATCTACGCTGCTGCTTATTGCTCATAGATCTTTTATCCTTTGTATTTTTACATTTTTTTCCGCCTCGGTTTATTCCATCATGTCACCAGGAACAGAAGTTACTCTGAAAGGGTGATAATTGCCAAGATTGCTGCTTCCCCCCTGTTCCCCCCCCCAAAGACTGGTACGGCAGTTGCTTTTCCTCAGTCCTCTGGCACCCTCCCTAGTTTGTCAAGATACTTCAAAAATAACCGAATCCTTGAGTTTGCCATTGATTCCTACACCCCAATAGGACAGTCATTATTTCGCTTCACTGAGCTCTCTACATGCCGTTTCTCTAACTAGTCCTTTATGTCAGTCTGAGCTGTCATGTTAACATTTTCATTACATTTTAGTTCTCGGAGAAATTTCCTTGGAAAAGAAATATTAAAAGAAGAAAAACAGTCAATAGGTAGATCATTTTTATCCCATTTGCAATAGCTGACTTCATTTAAGTTACTTTCTCCGCACTGATTTGTTTGTAAGATTCTGTCCTTTTGTCTTTTTAACCCTTTCCGTGGCAGTAACTCACCCTACTTGCCTGCAGTATTTTGTTTTCCATGCCAGTTTCCTATTTCCAATACAGGGGTTTTCTTTTTACTCTCAGATCTGAGAGCCAATCCTTCCTAAAATCTAATCCTGTTTCACTGCTGCAATCCTTTTTCATGCTTCAGGATATAAAACAGCTACAAAATGTCTGGGTTAGAGAGAAACTCCCCTGATGGGAAGGTTATTCTGTAAACATCCACTTCAGAGCTTCTTACCCCTTCATTTCAAGCACTCGGTACTGGCTGCCGTTCCAGGCAGGATAACAAACCAGACAAACAATTGTGTACAAGAAATCCTGTGTTTGGATGTCCTGGGGAGATGTCAGCAGATGCCCATTCTAATTTCTCTTGTTTTCCCTTCATTTTCCCAAATAGTTCTGTGCTGTTTCTGTTGGTCAACAAACTTTTGCAACTGGTATAAATTTTACTTCACCCGTCCAATTTTTTAGCCGTTTTCAACACTTCAAATCAATTTCAACAGATGTTGGCAGTGTTTGGCCTGAGTAAAGGCAGCAGGTTGGTGTACGGGGTTGATTTTCTGGGAGAGGACAAGAGCAAAAGGTAGGGCAGAAGCTGCTTTTGCAATTGCAAGAGTCCCAAGAACTAAAAAGATGCAGCAATGGAGCATTGATGTGTACAGAGAAAAATCAGAAAATTGGGAATAGGAGTTGGAGAAATACAACGGGGCACTTGGGTTAATCTGGTTTTGAGCGGTTTATGGTATTTCTGTCTTACAAGGTTCACTCTGAAGTGACCATAAATTTTGAATCCTTGCCTGCATTCAACTTCATCCTGTGTCCCTGGCAAATTATTTACTCTCTGTGCAGTTTGCAGGTTCCCTGTGTGGACAATGGGAACCGGCCCATCTTCTCAGCACTAGTTTTGCTCGTGAAATGCTCTAGGGATACCAAATGTTCAGCACTCTTATCCCAACTGGATTGTTATCCGTCACTGGACTTTGTACATACAGATTTCTTTTTCCTGCCCAGAGGCTGTGGTCACCAGCACTGAACTGTTCCTGGGCCTGGAGGCGGGAGAGGAGATGTTAGTGGTGAGGGACGTTTCCGAGGTGAGCAGGAGAGGAAGCTCGGCTGGATGCTAGCAGCATGTCATGGCAGCGCCTTTGTCCAGCTCCCTCTCCAGCCGGCAGCGGGAGAGGTACGGCCTGGTAGGACGAGGAGAGTAGAGGGGTCGTTGCTCTACCCTAGCAAATGCTCTGCCTGGTCCCATGGTACTTCTCAGCAAAACCTTCCAGGGGTTAAAAGGAAAAAGAGAGAGACAGAAAGGGGACAAGAGACAAAGGGAGGAATAAAGTAAAAAAATGTGCCGTGAAGCTTCTTGCAGCAAAATGCGGAGAAAGTCATTTCCAACTTCTTTCATCTCGGAGATGAAGCCACTAAATAAAAGGGCAGCGCAGAACACAAGGGCTTTTAATCTGTCTCATCTCCTTCATAATAACTGCAAATTTTCCCTGGGCTCCTGGGAGTGAGCCTCTTTCCTCTGTCTTTGCCTTATCTCCCCCCTCCATATTTCACAGCCGGCTCGGCTCCCCTCACTCGGCTGCCCCCGGCCTAGTCTCCGAGAGGCCTGTGGGAGCCGCCAGCTCCCAGGGCCTCATTGTTCCTGGCTTGGGAGGAAGCTCAGGGAGGGAATTGAAGGCAAGTCAAAGGGAAACGGCATCATCGCTGCTTCATTAATGGGAACCTTTCAGCAGAAAACATATCAGAGCGAGGTCTTTTCAGAGGCAGTAATTAGCAATTTGGAGCCTTCCCCCCTCAGGAGATGCAGCTGCAATCTAACAAGTGGGAGCAGTGCTCGCCTCCTTTTACGCTTCATATTTATTGTTTTTCATTTTCTCCATCTTCCTCCCATTGTCCAGCCTCCTCCTCGCTGTCAGATAAGGGCCCTTTATTAATCACTCCCTTTTAATTCTTCATTAATGATAATAACTTTCTCTGGCGTGCAGAGAGGAGTTAATCTTTCCTGGGTATTGAGAAAGGACAGGGCTGAAAGGGAGGGAGTGAAGAAGTGCATGGTGGACAAGGCTACACCGCCACGTTTCCTTCCTGCCCCACCACCCGGAAGGAGTTTCTGAAGACTTCGGTTGTCGAGCTGTGAGTTGCCCATTGGAAAGTCTCCAGGCTGACAGTTTGGTCAGGCTGTGTGGGTTTGGTGGGATGTACCCTGGCTCAGAGATACGGCCCTTACCAGAAACAGGTATACTTGGGCCAGAGGAAGAGACTTTCTCTGTGTGTCTTTGCAAAAAAACCCTCCGCGTCTTGGTGTGATTAATGGGCTGTGTCTACTCATCTTCTAAGAATGCTCCCTCAGACACCTTCAAAGCCCGGTTTCCTAACTGCCAACACTGTCCAAGCTTAAACAGCATCTGAATGTGGAAAGAAATGGTATCTGGGAGGCCCTGCACATGACAAGATCCTTCCTGGTGCCTCGCCCCAGCAGCTGGCACAGTCTGTCCTTGGATTGCTCCCACCTGGAGGTGCCAGTCCGCCAGCGTGGACATCTGTGTGAGGTGACTGCCACCAGGCTGGCTCAGCATGGGCAGCCCAGTGACAAAAGCTGGATGAAGATGGTAAGGAGAGGAGGAGGCTGTCATGCAGGCTGTGGCCATGTGCGTGGGGCTAAAATCAGTGAATTCCAGCCCCAAGAACATGGCTAGGGAGGACAAGTGCTGCAATACCCAACACACTTACAGATCTTAGCTTCTCTTCCTAGCGTTTTGTACCACTGGCTTCATGGGAACCCCTGCTTGTAAAGGCCACACAACTGATCTTGCCTTCTAGTGGTAGCCTCAGCCCTTTCTGGATAGCTGGGCATGCCACTGCCCCATTAAGAATATTTTACTACGACCAA